TGCTCGAGGTCAGGGAGTTCGGAAACAGCCTTTTTGTTTTTTTTTTTTTGGGGGGATTGCAAGATCCCTTGTTTCTTAAATATCGAACAGTTTTTATGGTTTATACATGTATTGTTCCGAGCATGGTGGCCGCATCCTGTGTCCCAGCTCTACTATCGGTTTTGGGTCTGAGGTTCAGTTGTGAGGATCGTTTGTTGGTGCTTGTACTAAGGTATTACTGTGTCATTTCATCTTTGTGTGTGTATCTGTAGTTGTAAAACTGTCTCAAAAATAAATTCTATTTGAGACTAGTGGCCGATAACGTTGTCTGTGTGTAGCTCCCATGCCACCCATGCGGTGGAATGTGTTGTGTTTTTATAAAACCATATGTGTATATGGTCCGGGCTGTGTGCCTTCGTTATCCTAGCACTCAGGGAGGCCGATTTGTGCGGGTGGGTTTGCTCTTTTTTTTTTGCGTTCAGGAGTTCATATATATACCAGCCCTGGAGCCATTGTGTTTTGTGTTTCTCTGTCTCTCTATAAAATAGTAAGGAAATTTATCTGTGTATCTTCAGAAAATATTTAGCGGGCATTTTGTGTGGCTGTTGCCTTGGTGGTCCCAGCTCTCTGTGGTGTTGTCTGAGCAGTAGGATCTCTTTGTTGTCCCAGGAATTTGATTGTGCTGTGTGTAGCTGACGCCATGTTTTCTTTGCCTGGGCCAACCCAAAGCAATGATCTGTCTCAAAAAAAAAAAAAAAAACCTTACTGTGTCTTTTATGTTTGTTGTGTGTTTTGACCCTACGGGCTGTAGCCCTCTTTGGTAGCTGCTGTTGCCATGTTTCCTGTGTCTGGCCTCCCTCCTACTCGTGTGTGTTCTGTTTTGTCCTTGTTGTCACTCCGCTGCTGAGGACGATTTTGTTAGAAAAGCGACTCCTGTGTGTGTGTTCTGTGTGTTGTTGGTCCCATGTGTGAAATTGTTGTTGTTTTGTTCTCAGCTTGTCAGGTGAACAGTTGTTTTGTGTTGTCTTTGTCTTTTTTTAAGTGTGTTATGGTTTTGCTCAGGCTGTGTGTACAGCTGTCTTTAAGTTGTGTTTTCCTGCCTGCCTCTGTGCCTTTTTGTTTGTTGTTTTGGTGTTATGACAGTGTGTGTGGCCTCACCACCTACGCCCATGTTAACAGTTGCTGTTAGATCATTCCGAACTGCGTCACCTCGCTTCCCTGCTGTGTGGTTAAGTCCACACTTCAGCCTCGGACAGCATTACCTCGTTCTTTCATGATATTACTACATGACTTCGGGTAGGTTTCATATTTTTTTTTTTTTTTTTTTTTTTTTTTCCCTGTGTCATTTCTGTTACTCCATGGTTGGTGTTTTTTCTCCTATTTTTGAAAAAAGAAAGGAAAAATCATCTTAAACAATGGCGTTCAAGAGTTTTTATCACTATGACTACTAAAGTAAAACAGGCTCATCTTGAGGTTTTGAACAGTATAGCTGAGGAAAAATCAAAAGCCTCTTTAATTTCACTTGTAACATTTTGGCGTCTTTCCTGCCAGCCTCCCTGTCCGCACTGGTGGCTCTTAGAAACAGGCACGGTTACGTCCCTGTCCCGCTGTCTCTCGCTTCGCGAGTTCGGTGCATTTCACGGGCAGGCCTGGCTTTCAGGGCTGCCTCCGCCCCGCACTGACTGTTCTCTTGTTGCCGAACTCTCCAGCTCTCGTGCTCTTAGGCAGATCTGCAGGGGACATCTTGTCACAGAATCTCAATGTGATCGTCTGACCTTCTGCGGGGCGAATCCCCAGCGGGCAGGGTGCTGGACGGAGCCCGTGAACCTCCCCGGGAGGCCCCTGCCCCTCTCGCCGGAGCGTTTGGGCGGCAGCCGCTCTCGTCTGTGGTTCTGCCAGGGAGAGTTTTCTGTCTGACCCCGTCCTTGGCTACGGATTTTGCACTTGAAAAAAAAAAAAAACGCCTCTCTCCACTTAGAGTCCAGATGGTGCATCTCAGTATTTGGGTCCCGCCTCCCCGGCCACTAGCGAAGCTGGGTGTTCTTTCGTTCTCTTTTTGGCCGTTTGTGTTTTCCCTGTGGTCTGTCCTGCTTGTGAGTTTGTCACGCATCTCTCCCGGGGTCCTCGTCATCCCAACGGCCTTTCATTCCCTCTTGACTGTGCCTTGGGGTCCCACGGTGCCGGCCACGGCGGTTGCCAGTTTGTGGGGACTCCTCGGTCAGGGTTGGGACTGCGGGGTCCTCTGACTCCTGAGACTGAGACGGGCAACCTCAGGCCAGGCGCTGCCCTGAGCGTCTCAGTCCACCGTCTGTGCGAGAGGGGCGGCCCGGCGGCCCAGGCACCCAGAGGTCCCTGCAGAGGGCGGCAGGGGCCCCCTGGGGAGCTCGGCAGGTGCGCGACCCTTGTTCTGGGAAGAATGCAAACGCCTGTGCACTGGCCGCCCCAGGCTGACGGCCAGAGTCGATGCATAACCTCTTTCTCTATTCCAGTTTGCAAAATGTTTTTTCCAAGAAGCTCCTCAGCGGGGACAAGTACAGGTTCTCGTGAGTATCGCAAGTCCACAGACCCCCCCCCATGATCCCTTCGAGGCTCGCGAGGCCGCTGCCCATGTGAAGCTTCACGATACCCCGTAGACCCGGCACATTTCCATCTTGGCCCAGGTGGCCTTTAAGCGTACCGTGTTCAAACTGGGGGAAATACCTGCCCTTTTCAGCTGCCCGTGGAGCAGCGGTCAGCACCAGCCTGGGTTTCTGTTGCCTTGTAAATTCCGGGTGGCCACGGAGGCCCGTCTTTGTCATCAGAAGAGAGTTAACGCCTAGTCCGCCTGGGCGTGTCGGGGTGTGCTTGCTGGGAGACACGGGGCTGGAGCCCGCCGGGTGGGTGTCGAGCGCGCACCGTTGCCCCCGCAGGGCCCCGGAGCTGCAGTTCTACACGAGCGCCGCGGCCATGGCCATGCTGGTTCCCGCCTGGATCTTCTTCATGGTGGGTCTGGGGACTGGGACGCCGTCCACTCGCCGTGCATGTGGCCGGCCGGCCTGGCGGCTTTGCTGCGGCGCCCTGGGGGGAGGCAGGGAAGCGGACCGCAGCAGCTCGGGGTTCTGCAGCTGCTCACCGGCCGGGCCCACTCGGAGCTGCGGCGGTTCCCCGAGATCTTTGTGTGAGGATCGTTAGGGTTGCTTGACTTCGTTTTTTTGTTTGTTTGTTTGTTTGTTTGTTTTTTTTGAGACAGGGTCTCACTCTGTTGCCCAGGCTAGAGTGAGTGCCGTGGCGTCAGCCTAGCTCACAGCAACCTCAAACTCCTGGGCTCAAGCAATCCTCCTGCCTCAGCCTCCCGAGTAGCTGGGACTACAGGCATGCGCCACCATGCCCGGCTAATTTTTTCTATATATATTAGTTGGCCAATTAATTTCTTTCTATTTTATAGTAGAGACGGGGGTCTCGCTCTTGCTCAGGCTGGTTTTGAACTCCTGACCTCGAGCAATCCTCCTACCTTGGCCTCCCAGACTGCTAGGATTACAGGTGTGAGCCACTGCGCCCGGCCTATTTAAATGTTTTTAATTGTGGTAAAATGTACGTAGTGTAAAACTCACCACCTTAACCATGTTTAAGTGTACAGTTAAGTGGTTCTAGGCACCCTTCACATCCTGTGCAGCCGTCACCGCCACCATCCTCGCAACTCTGTTCATCTTGCAGAGTGACACTCTGTCCCCATGGACACCAGCGCCCCACTCGCCCCGCCCCGCCCCTCTTCTCCTTTCTGTGTCCGTGGGTTTGACGACTCTGGGAACCCCGTGTGAGGGGCACACAGCGTTTTGTCTGTTGTGTCTGGCTAATTCCACTGGGCATCACGTCTTTTAGGCTCCTCCGTGTTGTAGTGTGCATCAGAATTTCCAATTCTCTTCCTTTTTCAAGGCCAAATAACATTCCACGGTGTGGACGGGCCGCATGTGGCTCGTCCATCCGCAGTGGACCGACACTTGCACTGTTTCTGCGTCTTAGCTATCTCGAGTCATGCGCCTGTGAGCACGGTGCGCAGACACCTCTTCCGGTCCCGCTCTCAGTCCTGTGGGCAGACCCGGCAGCGGAAGGGCTGGGTTACGTGGTGATGCTGGGTTTGGTGTCTGAGGGACTGCCACACTGTTTTGCACAGCAGCTGCTGTGTGACGTCCCAGCAGCAGGGCACGGGGCCCAGTTTCTCCAGGTCCTTGCCCACTGTTGTTGTTTTCTGCTTTTGTTTCGTTTGTCTGCTTGTTTGCTTTTGGCAGTAGCCATCCTAGTGGACGTGAGGTGGAATCTCGTGGCTTGTTTGCGTTTTCCTGATGATCAGTGCCGTTGAGCACCTGTTCGGGTCCTCGCTGGCCGTTCGCATGGGCAGCCGAACTGGCTAAACGCAATGGGGTTGTCGCCCAGGAGGCTGTCCTCAGAGCTCTCCCCAGCGTCACCTGCTGGGTGGGGGTGGCACTGGGTCTTTCCGGCGGGTGTTGGTAAAAGGCAAACGCAGCAGAGTGCCCTTCTGCCCTGGCACGTAGGACGCGCCGGTGATCGGGAGGAGCGGGAAGAGCTTCGGCTACAACCAGGACATCGTGTTGCTGCTTCTGACGGACGGTGTCCTGTTCCACCTTCAGAGCGTCACGGCCTACGCCCTCATGGGGAAGATCTCCCCTGTGACTTTCAGGTGAGCGGACGCACTCCCGGGAGACGGGGTCACGGCCTACGCCCTCATGGGGAAGATCTCCCCTGTGACTTTCAGGTGAGCGACGCACTCCCGGGAGACGGGGTCACGGCCTACGCCCTCATGGGGAAGATCTCCCCTGTGACTTTCAGGTGAGTGGACGCACTCCCGGGAGACGGGGTGTGCCCACTTCATTGGCAGAGGAGACTAGCAGGCTAGGTATTTTTGTAGAAGACACGTGTGTCCTCTTCTGTAGCGAGGACTGTGGCTGCACGCTACGACCAGACCCTTTTGTGCTGGCGCTGCGTGGAGGGCAGACGGCAAAGTGTGTCCTCTTTTGTAGCGAGGACTGTGGCTGCACGCTACGACCAGACCCTTTTGTGCTGGCGCTGCGTGGAGGGCAGACGGCAAAGTGTGTCCTCTTCTGTAGCGAGGACTGTGGCTGCACGCTACGACCAGACCCTTTTGTGCTGGCGCTGCGTGGAGGGCAGACGGCAAAGTGTGTCCTCTTCTGTAGCGAGGACTGTGGCTGCACGCTACGACCAGACCCTTTTGTGCTGGCGCTGCGTGGAGGGCAGACGGCAAAGTGTGTGACCGATTTTTAGGGTAGTCTCCACTAGAGGTCTTCACCTTAGAAGTGTCCTGGAATTGTTTGAATAGTTTTCTTGGGTAGAGCAGCACAAATCAGTAGACTCTCTGCACCAGGCGTGGGGGCTCACACCTGTGATTCCAGCGCTTTGCGAGGCTGAGGTGGGAGGATCACTTGAGGCCAGGAGTTCGAGACCAGCCTGGGCAACATAGTGAGACCCCCGTCTCTGTAAAAGAATATACGCTTGCCTGCAGTGATGGGATGTTGCATTTCCGTTCTGCCCAGTACAGGGGCCACTCGCCACAAATAGCTACTGAGCACTTGAATGTGGACAATACAGTGAACCGAATTCTTTTTGGTTTTTTTGTTGTTATTGTTTTGAGACAGAGTCTCCCTCTCTTGCCCTGGCTAGAGTGCTGTGGCATTATCACAGCTCCCTGCAACCTCTAATTCCTGGGCTCAGGCCATCCTCCTGCCTCAGCCTCCCAAGTAGCTGGGACTACAGGTATGCGCGACCATGCCCAGCTAATTTTTCTATTTTGGGTAGAGACGGGGTCTTGCTCAGGCTGGTCTCCAACTGCTGAGTTTAAATGATCTGCCCGCCCACGCCTCCCAGAGTGCTAGGATTACAGGCGAGAGCCACCACGCCCGGCTGTGGAGCCAGGAAGTCTTCACACGAGTTCCTGAAACTTAGTTTTTTAGTGATTGTTAGTGATGGTTCAAAAAAAGACAACAGGCCAGGCACAGTGACTCAATGTCCCTGTACATACCTAGCCACTCGGCGAGAGAACGAGGCGAGGACTGTGCCAGTCAGGAGTTCAAACCAGCCTGACCAAGAGGCGAGACCCGTGTGCTGGGCTGAGCTACAGAATAGAGAAGAAATAGTTGGCCAAGCGAAGGACCCTATACAGAGAAAAAATTCCCCCGCGCCGGATGTCATGGGTGCGCCTATTCGTGCCTGTTGTTAGTCCGCCACGCTACTTGGAGAGGCGAGGCAGGCGGCAGGATTCACTGGCCCAGGGGTTTGAGGTTGCGTGGAGCTTAGCGCTGACGCCACAAGGCACCTCACCTCCTAGCCTGTGGTGGCATCTGTCTAATGCAAATAGACCGATGGTTCTCAAAAAAAGAAAACAGCAAAAAAAACAGAAGATCATTATTGTTTTAAATAGCGATATTTTCATTTTTCATATTGTAAGAGTGATGAGTAGGTGCTCGTTATAAAAAGTTCGGAAAAGGCAGAAAAGTACCAAAAAATGAAGTTTAAATTATCCATAATCCCAACCAAAGAGAGACCACTGTTAATGTCTAGGGCATTTCACGTGAACTTTATTTTACTGTGACCCTGTGTACACGGTGCGGTCCTCTCTGGGCCATCTCCTCATGGGCTGCCCGTCCCCGGGTGCCGTGAAGGTGCCCCAGGTAGCGGGAGGTTTCCCTCTTCCGGAGGCCGGGCTGCCGCAGTTAGGGGTAGACGTGACGACATCTGCGGTTCACTCAGAGATAGTTCAGTGAGAACCAAGGACGAAGCAGGCAAGGCAAATGTGGGTTATCAAGTATAGGTCATGGTGGTCGGCTGCTGTGCTTCTCCACGTCTCTGCTTGATGTTTTTCGTAATAAAAAGTGCCCTCGGTGCAGAAGTAGCAAGGGATCAGGCCCGCCCTGGAGCTGCCAAGGCCCATGGCGGGCGAGCTCTCCGCCCGAGCCCCGGCGCGCGGGCCCCAGGTGAGCCGAGCCGGGCGTCAGACGCTGTCCCTGCGCCCCCACTGCAGTGTCGCCAGCACAGTGAAGCACGCCCTGTCCATCTGGCTGAGCATCATCGTTTTCGGCAACAAGATCACCAGCCTGTCGGCCGTGGGCACCGTCCTGGTGACGATCGGCGTCCTGCTCTACAACAAGGCCAAGCAGCACCAGCAGGAGGCCATGCAGAGCCTGGCCGCGGCCCCCGCCCGGGCCCCAGAGGACGCTGAGGAGCCGCTGGTTCCCAAGGACCCCAGACAGCAGCACTGAGCTCGGGACGCCGCCGGGTGCCCAGGACCCGCCGGCTGCTGCAGTCCTGACCAACGCCACGGCCCCTGGAGACCAGGCGCCGGAGACGCTCCCTCCATAGCCACAGCCGGGCAGCAGCAGAGGGGCTGTGTTTGTGGAAGGGGGCGTTTCCTGCTCCTTTCTTGGTTTTTCCGTTAAAACCAGTGGAAAGTCAGAGACTCCAGTTCCCTGGGCGCAGACCAGAGCCCAGCTCAGCTGAGCCCCTCCCTGTGTAATGTGAAAACGGCCTCGCAGCCCCCGTCCCCTGTGTGATGACCACTGGGGTCCCGTGCCCTGCCCAGAGCCAGCAGAGAGAACTCTGCTTCCCCACACCAGCCACGACAGGCCACTGAAGCCCTGGGCTGTCTGGACACGGCCCGCTGTGCTGGGACCAAAGTCCGAAGTGTCCACAGCCCGGGCGCAGAGGCTACAGCGCCTCTCAGAGCAGGGCAGACGCTGGAGGGGACAGGCCCAGGGGAGCGAGTCTCCTGTGCCAAGGATGGGTCCCCATCTGACCCAGACTATCCTCCCAAACACCATGGGGTCATCACATGCCCTCAAAGCCACAGTGTCATGTGACCTCTCTCAAGGGAGAGATTGTTCACGGAGGGTCCTTAGGTCACCTCTGTGGGGGTAGAGGCTCCCCCGTTTCGGAGCCTGCGCTGTGCCAAGCCACCTGCCTCCTGAGCCTACATGGCCCAGCTCCCTGTACGGTGACATCAGTCCCCGAGGCTGAGGACAAGCGACGGGAGATGCTGACATTCCTTTTCTTCTCTGGACGCTTGTGAGTGTCGGGGTGTTCTGAGGCTCCCTGGACTCCTGCTCCTGGTCTCGCCTGTGACCACCCCATTCGGTGCCCCACGTGCACGGGTGAGCAGCAGGGCACTGGGCAGAACATCTGGACTGTCTACCGATTTGGTCATCCTGCATCTAGAGCGACACTTTTTACTGAGGGAAACACACATCCAGAAGATTTCTGGAGTCACCGTGTGCAGGTAAACCATGCCCTGCAGACAGCCCTGCTCTGCCTGGCTCTCCTGGGGGGATGGTGACACTGCAGCCCTGGGGCCATCGGGTGAGCTGAGCTTATCCTTCACTGATGTCATTCGAGCCCCGGGGCGTGGAAGCCTGAGGAGCGCACGGAGGACCACGCCGGTGTGTGAGCCGCGTGCAGGCCGAGGTTTCCGTCTCTGTCCTGTCAGGGTTCTCACTCGAGGCACCGTGCGTTGCCAGCCAGTCTGGAGTCACTCCGCCACCCGGGCTGCTGGGGCCCGTCAGAGGCAGCCACCCAGCACTAATTGTTCCCTGGGCCTCACTGCCCCTCCTTGCTGTTCAGGTCTTTGGTGGCCCTATCAGTTCACTGGTTTTCCAGTTGGCTTCTCACCTGGAAATTATGAACAGTCCCTCCTGAAGACAAAATCTCTCAGAAACAAACAGCAATAATTACGTCTCATTAGGTTCTACCGACTTGGAAAAGTTTGCCATGACCATGGGCCAACGCCAGGCCTTTTAACCCACAAGCCGGCTTTAAAGCAGTTGACCTGAGCCTGGAGGACGGCCAGGTGTGTGCTCACCTGCACAGCAAGCTCCCTCCCCGAGAAGTTGGTTTCTCATTCATGCGATTTTCCCTGGGCTTCTATTTCCCATACTCTTTTCCTGCTTCCTTTCCCCCACAACAAAAGGAAACAAAATTGACTGGCAGTGGCCAGGTGGGGAGGGAGGTTGGATTGACCTGTGAAGACCCGGTTGGAGGCCCCTCCCCAGGGCGCTGCCCACCCCCACCCTTGCAGCTGTGCAGCTGCCGGCCGTGGGACGTGAGCAGGGCGGGTGTCTCTGTGGAGTCGGCTGCGAGATTTCACACTGGCCTCTCGCAAAGGCCGTGGTCTGAGGGTAGCTAGAGGCGCAGACACCTGGTTTCCCAGGGCTGTCTGGAACTCTGGTCCCACAGGCCACGTGGAATCGAAGCTTCCCATCATACGTGTCCCTTCACTCTCACAGGCAGCTTTCAGCCTGTTTTGATTTTCTAAATTTGTGGACCAGAAAGAAAACAAATTATTTTCCTAAATTATTAGCAAATAAAGCAATTTACTATAGAGCTGCTTTTGAGACCTTTCCTCACCCCAAGTGGAAGGATCACAGAGCCTGTGCTATGGCTGGCGCTGTGCCCTGGCTTGGGGACACATTCCTGCCTCTTCGTGCTGTCTCCACGCTCAAGTCAGTTTCCAGCCGCCACTTCTCACAGCATTTCCAGGACAGCCCTGTGCCCAGAGACAAAGCCCAAGGCCTGGCTTGAGCATCTAATGATTTGTACAGACACGATATTTTTTTAATTAACTTTGTCTAGGACTTTTGTAGAATAGTATGTTCTTGTTGAACTGACGCAAACGTGCTTATAGAAACATTGACACTAGGTGTCATTACTTCCATTGGGTTAATTCCTCCCATCTATGGTCACTGTGTCTTTGAACCAGACCTTTGAGTTGGGTCACTGGCTTGCTTACGTTGGTGCTCAGAGATGTACAGATCTCTGACTTTCAAGGAAACTGCCCCTACCGAATGCCATAGAAAGATTCTTACTAAAAATTCTGTTAGTCATAATTTCCTGTATAACAGCATTAAAATAATCTGCCTGCCTGGAAAGTTGAGAATACTCTTGCACAATCCAAAATGTGTCTTTAATTTGAGAAAAATAAACATGGTGAATTAGACACAGTAAAAAAAAAAAAAAAAAGGCTGTACAAAGAATGTCAGTCAAACAGAGCTCCACTTTGTAGCGGCCTTTCCAGTATTTGTCACAAAACCAGTGAGTTTTACTTCCTGCTGTGACACGGCTCTCGGTGGTCACTTGGGCAGGTCTGTGGGCATGACAGACAAACAGGACAGCTTTTTACATCTGTCCATGTGACGCGCTTGCCAAGCCCTGGCAGTGTCTTCACTGCTTCCTTGGGTTGGGTGTTATTACAGATGGAATGACCAGCGTCGTACTAAGGGCTTTATTCTTCCCCCAAATACGTATGTGCCCTAGGTGGGGCCTCGTTTCTTAGTTTATAAAATCATCCCGGCTTCCCTGATGACTCTGGCTATTTCTCTCTGTCCTGGCTGAGGACCCCCAAGTCAGTCCTTGTGGTCATGCTGACCTAGGTCTGCACTCACTGCAGCTCAGAGCATGGAAATCTTCCTAACCCTGACCTTGCTATCGCTGAAATATTTCTTCCAGTTTTCCTGGGGGCTGTGACTCTGAGTTTAATAGCTGCCGGATCCTCATTCAGACATCCAAAAATTCACTTGGAAAGTATTCCAACTGGCAAAGTCCTTTTTTGTCTGTTTGTTTTTAGAAAACTGTGGAATATTGGCATTCAGCTGATTAGCTATTCCTAGACTGTTCACAGACAGATGTGTGAGTCTGAACCTGTCCAAGGGGTGTTGTAGGTTCCACCTTGAAGAGGGCCACAGTCAGGGCAAATTTCCCACATTCAGAAACTTGAAAATTGTCTCAATAATCATCTTCCTCAGAGCCAAATTACATTTGCTTTATGCCAAACAAACTGTGGAGGACTAAAAGTACATTGTACAAAATGTTTACGGTATTTTGTATGTCACCTGTTTCAGTATTTATGTGACTAAATAAGTGCTTCCTAATGGTTCTGTTAAATAATTTAGTGAGTCACTGTTAATTCTGTGGTGGTAATAAGTTGATACTGTGTAATTAATCCTGTGGAAGCCTTCTGGTTATTTTGCTCTAAAATAAGCAGCCATGGTAAGCAACTGTCTATGACTCTTGCTCTGTAAAAGTAAAATAAATGTTAAATATGTCCTTCTTTCTTTTTCTTTGTGTAACTGTCGTATTTATGCTACTGAAATGATCAAAGTTGGTTTCTTATTGCATTCACCAATTTCTAGCATGGAGGTGTCAACCTAAATTGAGAAAGGTGGAGAGACCAACTCTCAGAAACTAGAGTTTATTGAGGAATAACAGGGGACTGTAATCCAGGATACACATGTTATGGTGGACCATACGGTCATCCAAAAGGTCATTGAAGAGGAAGCTTTTAAAGGCAGAAAGAAGTCCATATAAGCTGTTTTGAAACAAAGACCAATGGTCTTTAGGGGCTTATTGCAGACAGTGGCACTTGTTCACTGGGGCACTGGCTGCCCCTATGAGAGGGTCTTCACAGAAGTGGTTTAACCAGAAATTGGGAAAGTCCTCTGTGGCTGTTCCTGTGGCCAGCACATGAGCCAGCAAGAGGGCCCTTCCTTCATGGCCTCCGGTTTCCATTTTTGTACTGACAACTTTCACAAAAGGAGTCAGGAAAATGAAGGTTTTCCCAGTTACCGAGAAAGTTTGCTCAGAAAGCAAAATAAGAGCTTGGATACACAAAGTAAGCAGCATGTTCTGGGATTTAAAAAAAAAAAAACTCCAATATTCCTTCCCTTTTTTATGCCCTGGTCAATTTCTTGCCACATTCTTATGCATTTTCCCATGTCAAACCCAGTAAATATGGATGGTTGTTTATCTTTCATGGTCTCTTCCCTAAGATTCAGAATGTTGAATTATTTTTCTGCGACTATTTTTTTTTAAAGCCAAAAGAAAAACTGAAAAAAGGAAAGGGAAATAATCCGTTATAAGAGTCTCTCCCGGGAGGTTCTGACTTCACAGGTTCGAAGTGAGGACTCGGGAGTTGGGATCCTTAAAAACCTTAGCCAGTGAGTCTGCCTTACCCAACCGCTGCCACAGTATCAGCTTAAATCTCACCGTAGAGCTCAGACCTGCCCAGGCAAGACTTTCCTCTCAAAGTTCAGAGTTTAGCAGGGCAGCGGCTCTACAGGGCGCTGAGGGCGCGGACTCGCGCGCGCCCCGCCCCATATGGGCGTAGAGAGCAGGACGGTGGGCGGAGGCAGGGGCGGGGCCGGAGTCTCGCTCAGGGCGGGCCTGTCTGCCTCCGGCTAGAGCGACGGGCCCCGACGGAGGCAGACCTCTGTCCTGCTTCCCGGGGCGGGGTGGGTCTCTCAGAGCAGAAATCGCTCCGCCCCGGGCGCTCCGGCTCTTGCGTCACCAGCCAGCGCCCAAGCCGGAAGTGCCATGCGGACTCCGTTTCTTGTTGAGTACGGGACCCGAGGCCGCGCTGTTCTCGCGTCATCTGCACGCGCCGACGCAGGAAGTACCTCAAAGGGAGCGCCGTTGGTTGCTCTCTCTTCTCGAGAACTAGAGGCTAACCCTCCACTTTCGTCATCATCCCGCGCCAATGTAGGAAGTGACGACACTCCTTGCGCGTGCCGGGCGCTGTTTCTTTTCTGGCTCCGGGACTGGCGGCGGCAGCGGCGGCGGCGCAGGGGTGAGTAGCATCTGGGAGCGTGGGAGCGCAGCGAGACCTGAGCAGTCCAGGTCTCACGTCCGGCCAGGCTTCCGGGCGGGGGCGGCCGTGGGGCCGGGGCGAACGACCTCCTCGGTTCCCGGTCCAGTGTTGTCCCGGGAGGAACTTCGGGTGGAGCAAGAGGCGGGCACAGGCGCTCCATGGAGCCAGCCCCTGCCGGGCTGAACCGCAAGTTTGCCTGACTGAACCCAAGGAAGTAGGAGCCGAACGCCTGGGTCAGGTGGTCTTGTTAGCAAGCGCACCTTCTCGGGGCATCTCCCACCCCCAGGCTTCTCTTGAATCCTCTGACGGAAGTTGTATCTGTCCACTGTGCCAGTGGCTTCGTTTAGCTCCAGTTGTCTCTAATAGATTCCTTTGACAGCAGAAGGTGTGCTTGATCAGTGCTAGGCACTAAGCTAAGAGCCTTTAAGTGGATGATCTCCCTTAATCCTCGAACAATACTGTCACGTAGGTGGTGGTGTTTCCATTTTGCAGGAAAGTAAACTGAGGTGAACTAAGTTACCCAAGATCATACAGAAATGACAGAAGAGAGATTTGATTCCAAGCAGTCATTTTTCAGAACACATCACTCTGTTCTTTTTGTTTTTTGTTTTTAAGAGACGGGGTGTGGTGCAGTGGCTATTCACAGACGCCATCATAGCGCACTACAGCCTGGAACTCCTGTACTCAAGCGCTTCTCCCACCTGAGCCTCCCGAGTAGCTGGGACTGCAGAAGTACACCACCTCTTCCGGCTTAGAACTCTTCATTCTTCACTCTTGAGAATTTATTCTGAGGCACTCAAAAGCAACTAGGCCTGAGTGTTCACAGACAACAGCACTAAACCTTAGCTTGTTGCGTCTGATGTAGCTTGAATTATTTTTCTTTTTGCAGTGTTTTAATTCAAATGGGTGATGAAAAGGACTCTTGGAAAGTGAAAACTTTAGATGAAATTCTTCAGGAAAAGAAACGAAGGAAGGAACAAGAGGAGAAAGCAGAGATAAAACGCTTAAAAAATGTAAGCCATGTTTTTTAAGTAAGTGGTTTTCTTAAAGGAGATTTAATTTCTTTGCCCTCATTTTTCCATTAGAACAACGCTTCTTCGGTGAAGTTCTTTTGTACTTCCAAATGTCACAGGTGAGCCCAAAATCTATTCTAAAAATTAACAAAAGCATTCAAATACTCAGTTGACATTACAGGCAGATTGTTAACACACTAAAGCTGTATCTAGATGAGCGTCTACATGAAGAAATAAAATGTTCTGAACCTGAAGTCATTAGTACAATTGGACTAATTTTTTTCATTTCATTATTAGTGTATTCATAATACCATTTCCAAGTATTTTTAATATAGTAGGAACTTGCCTTGAAATTAATACAAATGTTTTATATCTTTCTTGGTTTGCGTAATAACATACTCAGAAAAACTTTTTGGTAATTTGATAAGAGGCCTTGGCAAAAGTACCTCCTCTGCTAAGATTAGTAACAGATCATTTGAAGTACAGGCATACCTCGTTGTATTGCGTTTCCCAGATATTGTGTTTTTTAAACATTGAAGATCTGTAGCAACCCTGTGCCGAGCAAGTCTATCAGCACCATTTTTCTGATAGCATGTGCTCACTTTGCTAGCATTTTTAGCAACAAAGTGTTTTTTAATTAAGGTATGTACACGGGTTTTTTAGACATAAAGGTGTTAGACACATAAAAGACTAGAGTATCCTGTAAACATGTGCACTGGGAAACCAAATTTTTGTGACTCCCTTTATCACAATATTTGCTTTCTTGTGGTGGTCTGGAACCAAACCCGCAATATCTGCAAGGTTTGCCTGTATTATATGAGGTATCACAAAGAATTTGGTGTCTAAAATATGCCTTAAGGCTCATTTATGGCTCATATAAGCAACTAACACATTGGCATAAGAGTTTAATGTTCCCTGTCATATACGCTAGTTTTAAACTTCACATCTAGGTTTTGAGTTTCAGAGAGTTACAATTTTAATGTCATGGGATTTGAATGAATATTTTTTATATTTTGTAGCATTGGTCGATTCAGAGTGTATATGAAGATTTGTTTTTGGATGTTGGCAAGGTTTGATTATCTTTAAAAATACTTTTATTTATAAGAAAATTGATTAACTTTCTCTTTGCTTCTTAGTCTGATGACCGGGATTCCAAGAGGGATTCCCTTGAAGAGGGGGAGCTGAGAGATCACCGCATGGAGATCACCATAAGGAACTCGCCGTACAGAAGAGAGGACTCCATGGAAGACAGGTGGGCGATCGAGCATGAGAGGACAGCCGGGGGCCACTCCGCACAGCAGTTGTCCCAGCTGCTCTTTCTCAGTGTCACCTTCACAAATGTATAGTCGTGACTTTAGAGTCACCATACAGTTGTGATTTACTCTCACTCAGTGTCAGCTGTCACTCCGTCCCCCTCACCCCTCTTCTAATGAAAAGACTGAATGAGCATGTATTTTCTTTGTGACTGTTCAGTCAGGCTAGCACCATTTTGTGAGTTTGCCATATAAGAGGGGCTGCTTATCAGAAACGTTTGTACTGAGACCTGTATGTTCTTTCTCCCTGTGCCATAAATTTCTTCTCATTGGTTTCCTTCTCATGTCCACTGCTGGATAGTTAAAGGAAACACAACCTGATTGTGTTTCCATTGGTTGTCCTGAGAAGCTCAGAGTATGACCTTTCCCAGGATTTTCATAATATAGAAGAAATCAGTTGAAGATATTGTCAAATGGCGTTTTGAGATCATTAAGGTTGATCGAATTATGGTATCTTTTTTAATAGCTTTATTAAAGTATAAATGACAAAATGAGCTGCCTGTATTTATAGTGTACAATTTGACACATTTTTATAAGCCTGTGAAACTATCACCACAATCACAAATGAACCCACTAAAGGTCCTCAGAAAGGCATTTTTGTTCCACATACCACATTGATTTCTTACATTTTTTTATCTGAATCTTAAGATGGCTTAAGTTTCAAAATTAACATAATTTTTTAAATGATGGTTCAGGTTTATTCCTGTTCTGAATTCTGCACTTCTCTGGGCTAGAGAAACTTCATAACACCTTGATGCTCCTTGTACTTGCTCAAGTGTGACAAGTACTCTTGTATCTTATTTCAGAGGGGAGGAAGATGATTCTTTGGCTATCAAACCACCACAGCAAATGTCTCGGAAAGAAAAAGCTCATCACAGAAAAGATGAAAAGAGAAAAGAGAAACGTAGGCATCGTAGCCATTCAGCAGAAGGGGGTACAAAAGTATTTCTTTTCTTTGATATCATATTAAGTGTGGTTTGTTTCCTATTTCAAAATCTACATTGCCCAGAGCACAGTTGAAAAAGAAGAGGAAGAAAATTTTTGCTAAAAGCATAAGTTTATTATGTTAGGTTATTAAGAATGAAATGTCCGATTTCCTTAAGTACTCAGGTTGACAGTCGATATCTCTGATATTTCACTTTGACACATCTTGTTTTGTTTATTGTGAAGGAACATCATCCTTAGTCTTTCAAATGCATGTTTTAGTTTGTGATTACCTTTCATTTTTTTTTTAGAGCGATTTTTATGAAACCACGGATAAGTCAAAAATTCGTGTTATTTTCAAGTACGATGTTTGTCTTGGAACCATTACAGTGTAGACAGCTCAAAATATCAGTGAAGTGTTTGGGAAGTATGTGGCTAATGAACTCACCATATGTTGATGGTTTGAGAAGTTCCATTGTGGTGATTTTAGTCTTGAAAATGACCCATGTGAGTGACCTGAGACCAAGGTGGATAATGATGAGCTGAAAGCTGTAGCAGAAGCGAATCTGTCTCAACCTACACATGAAAACCCTACAGCAGCAGGGTTTGATGTTACTGTTGCAACAATATTGGACCATTGAAACAAATTGGCAAGGTAAAGAAGCTGGATAGATGGGTTCTGCATGAATTAAATGAGCATCAGAAGGGAAATTGTCTCTTCGCTGTGACGATGTAAAGATGAACCATTTCTATACCATATTGTTACATGTGATGAAAAGTGGATTCTTTTTGACAATCGAAAGTGTTTGGTACAATGGTTGGATGAAGATGAAGTGCCGGAACACAGTCCAAAACCGAATACTCATCCAAAAAAATCTAATACTGTCTGTTTGGTGGTCCAGCACGGTATTATCCACCACAGCTCCATGAAACCCGGTCAGTCGATTACAGTGGCTGTCTACTGCAACCAACTGGACAAAATGATGAGAATGCTTGCCATTAAGCTGCTGCGATTGGTCAGTAGGCCAATAGGTCTTGGCTATTAAGCTGCTGCGATTGGTCAATAGGCCAATAGGTCTTGGCTATTAAGCTGCTGCGATTGGTCAGTAGGCCTCTTGTAAGGTCGTGCTCAACCAAGTGGCACAGATGACGTTGCTCAAACTGCAGCAGCTAGACTTGGAAACTCTGTCATCCACAGTACTCACCAGACCTTGCACCAACTGACTCCCACGTCTTCCAGGCTTGGACCACTTCTTGCAAGGAAAAATATTCAATTCTCAACAAGCTGTGGAAAACACCTTTCATGATCTCACTGCCACTCGCTCTCCAGGCTCCTTGGCTACTGGCATAAACAAGCTACCATTAAGATGGGAAAACTGTGTCAGTAGTCTAGATGCATACCTTTAATAACTGTACTACATCTTGTTTGAGATGTAATAAACCACACTTCTTATTTGAAATCGGACATTTCATATTTAATGACCTAATCATTGAGAATAGCTATTTCATTTTTCTTCTGATGTTTTTTCCTCCCATGTTATATTGTTTTAGAGTAGTTTGTGTGCATATAAAATTACCTTAATTCAACAAATATAGGGGAAAAACACCAAAAACCGGAATTTGTTGAAGTTCAAATAATGGGTTTAGCTTAACTGGTTTGATCACCTACCAATATCAAGAGGTTTTTAGGGATGCTGGGAAAAACAGACCTGGGGCCTGATTTAAATCTCATTTTTATGTGATAACACAGGTTAGTTCATGAGATTTCAGAACATGATGTAGAAACCCACTAATAGCAAGGCTTTGTAATGTGTTTATTTTTAATTATGAAACTAATATATTCTAACCATGGTTTATTCAGTATACAAAATTAAAAAGAGAAGAGGAAAATCACAGTTCTGCTATTCAGCAATAACCACATTTTTTTTCTTTATAATTGGAAGCTTACTGCATAGAGCTTTATATTTTAGGGTTCTTTTATTTAACATAAAATCATGATTGTTTCTGCAAGTCATTATTTAAACATTTCTTCTCGTCCTGACTTGATTTAGTTTTCAAGTTAAATTTTTGGAAGTTAAGCTTCCTTGGCTGACACCTGTTTCTGCCTAGGAAAGCACGCGAGAGTGAAAGAGAAAGAGCGCGAGCACGAGCGTCGGAAGCGGCACCGAGAGGAGCAGGACAAGGCCCGCCGGGAGTGGGAAAGGCAGAAGAGGAGGGAGATGGCCAGAGAGCACTCGCGGAGAGAGAGGTGAGGGCCCGGCCCGCTCAGGAGCTCCGATGGGATGCTGTGGGGCAGGTGTCCCGTGGTGGCATTGGGAGGGCAACGGGCATGTGGCGAGGTAAAGCAGGTTTGGACATCAAAACATGGTTCAGCAAACGTTGGGGGGAGGTGTTAACCAAGAGAATTGTCCTGAAGGAAGGAAGTTTTTACTGTATCTAGAAGTCAGAAATATGTGTGAATTGGTCGAAAGAAAATAAAGAAGATAATGGCAGGACTAGAAGTCTGATGAGGAGGAGGAGGAGGATGGAGGCTGGTGGGGAGGCCGTCAGGAGCCAATCTGAGCCAGGACCTAACTGTGCCGCAGACAGCATCAGTGCGAAAGGGGTCAGCAGGGAGAGGGGTGTTGCCGCCTGGGGGTTTCCGATGGGGGTTCGGGTGTAAGGAAATGGAGGCTGAGACACATGTAATAGCGGCGATGGGAAGAGACGCGGTGGAGAGAAACCACCTCTGAGACCTGTGAGCTGATCGCAAGGAGGGAGGGGAGATGCTCTGGGCATCATGGTGGCAGGGAGGAGGTCTCCTCTGGGGCCATATGAGGCCTTCACACGTTCAGTGTGTATTATTTTCGGGCTATAGCAAAGAGTAGAGTCATCTCAGAGAAAGTCAGCCAAGTCCAGGTGCATAAATTCTGACCCCGTGCACAAGTGACGGTCTGTGGTATGGCTGAGTCGGCGCCTATCCAGGGGGTGTTCACTGAGCATCTTCTCTATCAGACTGTTGAGGGTTGTCGAGGCCAGGAAGACTAAGGAAATAGATCGCTAAGGGTTCCCTGGGTCACGTCAGAAGTAGACACTGGTCTTTTCAAATAACAAAAAAGAGTAATAAGAAAGGAGCCCCGAAGGACCTGGAAACTGGGACACTGGACTCCTAGTGTTAGTCTCCTAGGACCTCCTTGTAAGTTCAGATTTCCAGAAGAGAGCCTGTGTCAGCCCCAGGGTCTGTTGTCTGTGGCCCAGCAGAGAGGGGACACAGGCTAGATGTGCATGCTCTGTGCGTTGAGGCCATGCCCAGAGAAGGCTTGGAGCTGGCTGCCGCCGGGAAGAGAGGAGCCTGAGGTAGGACGGGGAGGTACTGACCCTTTCCAGTAGCCAGGGCCGAGCATATAGTGTGTGAAGAAGTGGGAGAGGAGCGTTGGTTCTTCCTGATGCTGACGGTGCGGGAGGTGCTGAGGCCCGCAGGTCTAGGCCCAAGGCCTTTGGGAGATGAGGGACGTGTCCATGTTCCTGTTAGGTTGTGAAACACTGTGTTTGCTAAGCACTGCTGGACACTGCCTGTGCCGCTCCCATGAGGGAGGGCTTGTACTAGAGGAGGTTGGCAGGTGAAATGTGGGCTTCTATACTGATTTTCCCAAAGGCAAAAGCAGGGAGCAAAAGGTATCTGTTGGGCATACTGGCCAAGGCTAACTAAGATTGGCCAGTCCAGAGCTGGGAGTGTGTGGCATTTATCAGTAGTTCCAGCTACTCAGGAAGCCAAAGTGGGAGGATCACTTGAGCCCAGGTGTTCAAGGCCAGCCTACATGGCATAAGGAGACTCTGTCTCTTTTCTTTTGAGACAGAGTCTCGCTTTGTTGCCCAGGCTAGAGTGAGTGCTGTAGCATCAGCCTAGCTCACAGCAACCTCAAACTCCTGGGCTCAAGCAATCCTTCTGCCTCAGCCTCCCAAGTAGCTAGGACTACAGGCATGCACCACCATGCCCGGCTAATTTTTTCTATATATATTAGTTGGCCAATTAATTTCTTTCTATTTATAGTAGAGACAGGGTCTCACTCTTGCTCAGGCTGGTTTCGAACTCCTGACCTCGAGCAATCGGCCCTCCTCAGCCTCCCAGAGTGCTAGGGTTACAGGCATGAGCCACCGCGCCCGGCCGAGACTCTGTCTCTTAAAAGAAAAAACAGCCCATCCTGTCCCCCAAAAAGCAGCTGGACAACATGGATGAGAACAGTCATGGCTGGTGGGGTGGCTCATAACTTTATAATGGCATTCGCTGAAGCCAAGGTGGGAGGATCACTTGAGGACGGGAGTTTGAAATTAGCCTGGGCAACATATTGAGACCCAGTCTCTACAAAACGTTTTAAAATTAGCCAGGCATGGTAGTGCATGCCTATAGTCCCAGCTACTTGGAAGGCTCAGGTAGAAGGATCACTTGAGCCTGGGAGTTGGAGGCTGCAGTGAACTGTGATTATACCACTGCACTCCAGCCTGGGCAACAGAGCAAGACCCTATCTCAAAAAGAAAAAAAGAGAGAAAGAATTGAAAGAAATAGGTTATTCATCAGTTATAGTTGGAAATGTCAGTACTCTGTCCATAGAATAACTAGAGAAAATTAATGGTGACATGGAAAATTTATAAGATATTATCAACCAGCTCCATCTAACTGACATAAATACAGTCTCTCAGACGAATGTGGTGTTGGCACTTGTAGTCTCAGCTACTTGGGAGGCTGGGGCAGGAGGATCGCTTGAACCCAGGAGTTCAAGACTGACATGGGCAATGTAATGAGACCCTGTATCTTAAAAACAGTGCACAGCGCTCCACCCATAACTGCAGGGAACCACCCTTTACAGTCTCACCTGGCAGCTCACACGTCTCCTGAGACGGCTCACAGGTTGGGCTGCATAGCAAATCCTCAATCTGAAAAAAGGCTGAAGTCACACAGAGCCTGCCCTCTCACCACAAGAAACTCAACAGCCCGTGTCCAAGTAACCCATGGCAGAAAAGTAGAAATATTTTGAACTAAATAAAAATGAAAACAACGTCTCAACATTTAGGGAGGCAGCAATAAATCAGTACTTACACCAGAAAAGGAAGTTGTCATAGCAGGAACCTGGGCTCTCACTTGGAGAAACTAGAAAGAGGAACACAAACCAGACCCAGGTCCAGCCGAAGAAAGGCCCAGAAGATCCAAACACACGACAGGCAGCCTGCTGGGCTGCAGATGAGCACATGGGAGAGGTTCTAAAGCCAGCAGCTCCCGGCTGCACGGCTTCATAAAGTTACTAAAAACCCTCAAATTCAGTGGTTAAATTTTATATGTAAGTTGTACTGCACCTTTCATTTCGAAATAGTTCTGGACTCAGGGGAACTTGCAAAACAGTACCCAGAACCCCGGGACCCTCCCCAGCCGCCTCCATCAGTCACGTCCGAAACCCCGGGACCCTCCCCAGCCGCCTCCATCAGTCACGTCCGACAGATCGGTGTCGGTGCCGCTGCTCAGACTGCTCACGTCTGTTCTTTTCCCTGTGTGTGTTGTTACCTTTTGAAACGTGTTTTTTTTTTTGTTTTTTTTTTGAGACAGAGTCTCACTTTGTTGCCCAGGCTAGAGTGAGTGCTGTGGCGTCAGCCTGGCTCACAGCAACCTCAATCTCCTGGGCTCAGCAGTCCTACTGCCTCAGCCTCCCGAGTAGCTGGGACTACAGGCATCCGCCACCATGCCCGGCTAGTTTTTTGTATATATATTTTTTAGTTGGTCAGTTAATTTCTTTCTTTTGGTGGAGACGGGGTCTCGCTCAGGCTGGTTTCGAACTCCTGACCTCGAGCAATCCATCCGCCTCGGCCTCCCAAAGTGCTAGGATTACAGGCGTGAGCCACCGCGCCCGGCTGAAAACGTGTTTTTCAAGTTGTGGGTCTTTACGTGAACATGAAAAATTGGTTAAGGCTGACAGGTCACTTTTAGCTATTCGGCCACTTGACGTTGTCCTCCAGTCACTGGTGTTCGCTGCGTCCCAGGTGACTCATCACCGTGTCACCTTCTTGCCACATGGTAGAAGTGGCTCGGGGTCCACCCCTACAGGAGGCTCCTCTCCCCTCTGCCGTAACCTCTGCTTGTTTTTCTCACCGTCGGTTTGGATTTTAAATGGACTTAGGTAGATTCTGAAGGTGTCTGTTATGGCTACTTAACAGACATATGGTAGAACCAGTAGATTTTTTTGTTTTTAATAGGTGATTATCTCATTTAGCCAGTACTTGATTTTATTCTGTTGGGCTGTTTAGGAGCAGTGCTTGAGATGCATGTATGTATCTTCTATTTTTAAAGCCATTTTTGGGCCAGGTGCGGTGCTCATGCCTGCGATCCCAGATCTTTGGGAGGCTGAGGGGGGAGGATCACTTGAGGATCCTCAAGAGTTGGAGGCTGCAGTGCACTCCAGCCTGGGCAACAGAGCGAGACTCTGTCTCTTTATTAAAAAACAGAAGGCAAAAAACCAAGTAACAGCAGAGCTGCTCCCTGAAACTGGGAAGTTAAGGAAGGAAAAAAAAAGCCATTTATGAATTAAACATAGTTTATAAATTTGTCTGGGGTGGCGGTGACGGCCTTTGCTTCTTCCAGGGATCGCCTGGAGCAGCTGGAAAGGAAGCGGGAGCGGGAGCGCAAGATGCGCGAGCAGCAGAAAGAGCAGCGGGAGCAGAAGGAGCGGGAGCGGAGGGCCGAGGAACGGCGTAAGGAGCGCGAGGCCCGCAGGGAAGGTACGTGGGGGCCTCTCCCTGGGTTGCCCCCGGGCGAGGTGACTGGTGGTTCCATGGATGACACAGGCTACCACAGATGCAGCCAGCCCTGCCAGGCGCGGGCACTCGCCGGCCGCTGTGCCGAGGCCCGAGCGTGACAGCCGTTGAGGCCGCGTGAAGGGAGCTGGCGTGTGGGCGCGTCTCCCTGCGCAGCGACTAGGGCTGTGGCCCAGCCAGGTGCGGGGCAGGTGTGCTGGTGTGACGTGTATCTGCCACCTGCTGGTGGTCAGGTGCAGGTTTTAAGCAGTAGGTTCTCAGCTTCTGTACTTTGCTTTGTCCTTTCTTTTTACCTGGTTCCAATTTTTAAAATTGTGATAAAATAAATATAAAATTTACCATCTTCACTATTTTGAAATGTACAGTTCAGTGCCATGAAGTACATTCACAGTGTCATGCAGTCTCTCTTGCCAAACTGAAACTGCCCCCATTAAACAAAAACCCCCCATCCCTCTTCCCTAAGTGGCAGCCCCCACTCCACTTTCTGTCTCTGTGGGTGGCTTCCTTCAGCATTTCTTGCAGGGAGGTCTAGTGGTAATGAGCTCCCTCCATTTTTGTTTAGCTGAGAATTTCGTCGCTTTTTTTTTTTTTTTTTTTTTTTGAGACAGAGTCTTGCTCTGTTGCCTGGGCTAGAGTGCCATGGCATCAGCCTAGCTCACAGCAACCTCAAACTCCTGGGCTCCAGTGATCCTCCTGCCTCAACCTCCCAAATAACTGAGACTACAGGCGCACCACCACACCCAGCTAATTTTTTGTTTCTATTTTTGGTTGCCCGGCTAACTTTTTTCTATTTTTAGTGGAAACAGGGTCTCTTGCTCAGGCTGGTCTCGAACTCCTAAGCTCAAGCAATCCTCCCACCTTGGCCTCTCAGAGTTCTAGGATTACAGGCATGAGCCACCATGCCCAATTTCTTTCTCATTTTCAAAGGACAGTTTGCTGGGATGTAGGATTCTGGGTTGACAGGGGTTTTTTCGTTTGTATTTTTTTTTTAATTTTAGCTCTTTGGACATATCTCAGGCCTCCAGGGTTTTTGGTAAGAATCTGATAATCTTGCTGAGGTTCCCTCCTGTGTGACAAGTCACTTGCTGTTTTCAAGATTGTTTGTCTCGTGCTTTTGACAGTTCGATTGTATTATGGGTGGATCTTGGAGTTCATCCAGCTTCATGGTTATGTTCGTGTCTTTCATCAAATTTTGGAAGTTTACTTCTTCAAATATTCTCTTTGCTTTTTTTTCCTGTTTCTTCTTCCTGGACACACACGATGCCTAGGTCTGGTCCATTTGATGGTGTCCCAGAGACCCCTTAAGCTCTGTGCACTTTTCTTCAATCTTCTTTTGTTTCTGTTCTGCAGACTCAGTTATTTCCATTGGCCTATATTCAAGTTCACTGATTCTTTCTTCTGTCTGCTCAAATCTGCCTTTGAATCCCCTCTAATGAATTCTTTATTTTGGATTTATTTTTGGTTTTTCTTTTTTTCTTTTTTCTTTTTTTTTTTTTTGAGACAGGGTCTTGCCCTGTCTCCCAGGTTGGAGTGCCATGGTGTCATCACAGCTCACTGCAGCCTCTAACTTCTGGGCTCAAGCCATCCTCCTGCCTCAGCCTCCCAAGTAGCTGGGACTACAGGTGCATCACTGCACCTGGCCTCTCTTTGGTTTCTTTTTAGATTTTGTCTGTTTATTTATATTTCCATTTTGTTTATATATTTATTTACTTCTTCAACATCTTAGTTTAGTTATTTGAGCACCTTTAAGATAATTATTCTAAAGTCATTTTCTAGGCAATCTGCTATCAGATCTTTTTTCAGGGACAATTTATGGTGTTTTCTCCCCCTGCTTTGAATGAGACATACTTTCCTGTTTCCTTGTATGTCTCGTGATTTTTTTTGTCAAAACTTAGACCTTTGATTCTAATCATGTGACTCCCTGTGACCCCCCCAGGGTTTGCTACTTTGTTGGTCTTGTTATTGCTTGAGTGCCATGCCTGTCCTGGGCCAACAATCAACTGAAGTGTGGAAGCTTCCCAGGTTTTTCTCAGCCTGCACCTGTCCCTGGGCATGTGCAGTCACTTTCTGATTTGCTTGTGTGTCCCGCTGATTTTGAACGTCCTTGTCCCTAAATGTCTGGCTCCCAAAAGGGGAAAGAGAAAAATGAAGGAGGAGAAAGGCGCCAGACCGCCAAACGCCAGGAAAGTCGCGTCAGCCAGAGGGGGGGGCAGTAGCAGGGCGCCGCCTCCCCGCCCTGACGGGAAGCAGCGTCAGAGCACAGGTGCTCACGTTCCCCGGGCAGGTCCTGTGGGCCACCCTGGGTCCAGCGAGCTGTGCACTGGCTGCCAGCCGCGAGGCCAGGGGTGCGTGCTGCATAGCTGCCACTGCACTAAGAGGCGATGTTGCCCAAAACTCATTGCGAGTCACTCCTCAGGCCCTTCCCTTGGGAGCTGCAAGCCTGCAGTAGACCCCAGAGTTCCAAGTAGTCACGTCATGGATGTGAGCGCCATCTGGCTGCGACATCTGTCACCCCATTGATCGCCAGGGTTGATTCGGCTGATCTGGCTGGCTAGGCGGGTGTCCCCTTCCTCCCTCACTGCTCCATGTGCATCCCTCCCGAAGCTGCGCGCTCGGTCGAAGAGGACGACCTTCCCCGCTAGAGGAGGACCGGTCTTTGGGTTCGGTCAAGGGTATACGAGTAGCTGCGCTCCCCTGCTAGAACCTCCAAACAAGCTCTCAAGGTCCAAATAGTCACGTCAGACTGATGTTGCCACTACACTTGCCGTCTGGGTGAAGGGACTGGTTCCTGCCGGTTCCTGCTCCATCTGCCCACGTTCCTCCCCCACCCGTTCCTTTCTGACCAGCGAAGATCAGTCTAGAAGGTCCGCCTTGGTCTTCAGGGCCCGCTCACAGCCTCCAAGTTGGAGCTCTGCCTCCCAGGGCTTCTTGGCCTCTGACCCCAGTGCTGCTGGCACTGTCTGCGCTGTGGATGTGGCAGCCGCACCCAGCTGGGGCTTTGGGGCAGCAGCGTTGCAAACGCCATCTCCCACCCCGTGCGCAGGTTCCGCTCATCACCGGGCCATGAGGGAGGACTACGGCGACAAGGGCAAGGCCAGCCACTGGAGCCGCAGCCCGCTCCGGCCGCCCCGGGAACGCTTCGAGCTGGGGGACAGCCGGAAGCCAGGTGAGTCTTTCCTGGGTTGTTCTGAGCATAAACACTTCCTTCTTCAACAGTTTATAAAATTATTTGAAGGAAAGCCCGTCTGAGTAATTTCCTTTGCACAATGAAATGGACGTGCTGGCTGCAGAGCTCCTTGTTACGAGGGAGACTGTCAAGATTTGTGAGGAGTCAGGTCACGGACCCCTCAGCGGAAACATGTGGCCCTTTTTAGGGGTGCTCTTGTCGTTAACTGTATGTGGAGAGCTGTTTTTCATACAAAGTGAGCTTAATCGTTATATGAAATATACCACCTGATTTTGAGGTGGTGATATCTTGTTTATTTTAAAACATTTCCCCAAATTCACCCTTGATGGTTTTTTCCGTAAGTAAAAGAAGAGAAAATGGAAGAAAGAGACCTGCTGTCCGACCTGCAGGACATCAGCGACAGCGAGAGGAAGACCAGCTCAGCGGAATCCTCCTCAGGTACCGGAGTCCTCCTCGGGTGCTGGAGTCCTCCTCGGGTGCCAGAGTCCTCCTCGGGTGCCGGAGTCCTCCTCGGGTGCCGGAGTCCTCCTCGGGTGCCGGAGTCCTCCTCGGGTGCCGGCTCTCCCAGCCCAGGCCTCGCCGGCAGCCCCCACAGCAGGCCAAGGTTCACCTTCCGCCTCTGCCTTCTTCCAACAGCGGAATCAGGGTCAGGTTCTGAGGAGGAAGAAGAAGAAGAAGAGGAGGAGGAGGAGGGGAGCACCAGTGAAGAATCGGAGGAGGAGGAGGAGGAAGAGGAAGAAGAGGAGGAAGAAACTGGGAGCAATTCTGAGGAGGTGTCGGAACAGTCGGCAGGTGAGGAGTATGCGAGGTCACGATTGTTCTAATTTGATTATGAAAACAGTATGCATTTACAGTGGAGAGGTTAGAAACTGTGGAAAAGTGACTAAAAGTCTAATTTAAGAATATTTCTAGGCTGGGCACGGTGGCTCACGCCTATAATCCTACCACTCTGGGAGGCCAAGGCAGGCAGATCTTTTGAGCTCAGCAGTTCGAGACCAGCGTGAGCAAGAGCAAGACCCCATCTCTAGTAAAAATAAAAAGAAATTAGCTGGACAACTAAAATATATATATATTAAAAAAAAAAAATTAGCCGAGCATAGTGGCTCATGCCTGTAGTCCCAGCTACCTGGGAGGCTGAGGCAGCAGGATTGGTTCAGCCCAAGAGTTTGAGGTTGCTGTGAGCTAGGTTGACACCACAGCACTCTAGCCCAGGCAACAGAGCGAGACTCTGTCTCAAAAAAAAAAGAAGAGAGAGAATATTTCCAAGTTGAAAATCCCTTACCATCTGGGACTCACGTAAAACCCCAAAGTGATGGTTTAGAACGCATCTCGCTTTCTGTTAGCTAACACTGCTCTCCCTGGTCTGCTCGTGCCAGGCTCTGGCGGCCCCTAGTCTAGTGGCACAGCGCTGGGCTGAGCACACGCCTGTTCCTTTTGCAGAAGAAGTGAGTGAGGAAGAAATGAGTGAGGATGAGGAGCGAGAAAACGAAAACCACCTCTTGGTTGGTAAGAGGCTCCCCGTACCGGTTCCCCTTCCTGGTGCTGGTGTGGGGGAGTGCGGCGGGCGGCTCCCTGTCTACAGACCACTTCCCAGGCGGGTGGCATCCACGAGCCCCCAAGCCTCCCGAGCAGCGGCAGTGAGTTCTCAGCCTGGCCCTGTCCAAGGAGTGAGGTCACGTAGCAAGGAACAGTTTGGACCGCAGCCTCCCCTCTGAGCACGAGCTGAGACTCGGACACTGAGGGAGCGGCGAAATGCCACTGCAGGTCCGGTCCTCAGTGCGAAAGCCGGGTCTGATGGCACGGCCCGTCCTGGGAGGGCAGGCCTGGCATGGCCTCCGTCAGGCAAGCAGGCTTTGTCCGTGGCTTGACGGACATGCGTCCCAAGCACACCCTCCGTGGCACTGGGCACAGTTTCAGAGCTCGGCCACCCGGTCGGTGGCTCTCAGCTGAGCCTGCCGGGACCCCTAACCCCCGTGGCCCGTGTGTGGGAGTCAGGAGCCCAGTGCTGGCACTCTGTGCTGCAGACATGTCCCACAGGGCCACATGGCAGTCCTGTGCGTGCTCCATGCCCCTGATCAGGACGAGCGTCAGTGACGCCTGCCCAGCCCTGGTGCCATACTCAGCTTAACTTTTAAAGTTCCAGAGTCGCGATTTGACCGAGATTCCGGGGAAAGCGAAGAAGGGGAGGAAGAAGTGGGCGAGGGCAGCCCGCAGAGCAGCGCGCTGACGGAAGGGGACTATGTGCCTGACTCCCCAGCCTTGTCGCCCATCGAGCTCAAGCAGGAGCTGCCCAAGTACCTGCCGGCCCTGCAGGTCAGCCCCGGCCCCGCGGCCTCCCCTCACCCCAGGGCCTGCTCCTTGCTTGGTGACAGGTTGGGGCAGGTGGCTAAGAGCAGAATCATGGACTCCAGGCATGGGTCCCCCCCGTGCAGTGAAGGGAGCGATTCAGCCCCACGAGGCCTCGGAGTGGTGTGGAAGGTGGGCAGCCAGGGCTGGGGCCTGTGCTGCAGCCGCCCTCCCAGGTCCTCTGCAGAGCAGTGTCCCTCCACACGGCCCTGCACGTGGCACCCAGGTGGGCACCCAGGCCGCCTTGTCACTGCCGCCGCACAGGGCCGGAGGGCGGCGCTGGGAATGGGTGCCGGTACCCAGGGCTGGAAGGTTCTCTCGGGGAGACAGCAGGCTCCAGCTGAGTGCCCTGTGCTTGGTGAGCGCCCTCCCCATAGTGCTTCAGAACAGCGCAGCCCAGTAGGGGGCTGCTTCGTGGCCCAGGGGGAAGGAGTGCACAGCTGTGCTGGGGCATCGTGGTGCTCTGCAGAGGGCGAGCCTGTCCCCAGCCATCTCAGCATGAGCTGGGCCGCACCCAGCCGAGGGAGGAGCTTCCACACTGGGATGCAGCAGAGTTGCTCCATGCCCTCCCACCTGCCCTTGTGCTGCGCCCTCTGAGAGTATCCGCAGGGGGTCGTGCTGTGCACCTGCCCCATGCAGGGGGCGCCTCCCTTGGTGGCTGAGCCCTCCCTCACGCTGGGGCTCCCCACAGGGCTGCCGGAGTGTGGAGGAGTTCCAGTGCCTGAACAGGATTGAGGAGGGCACCTACGGGGTGGTGTACAGAGCGAAGGACAAGAAGACAGGTGGGCGCAGCCGCAGCGCAGTCCCACGGGTGGGGAGACAAGCGGCTGGGATGGGGTGGCCCAGAGAGCCCAGCCTGGTCAGTGGGCCAGCTCTGGCCTGTCCCTGCACAGGGAGGCTCCTCCTACGGAGCTGGGGTCAGAGGGGCGCAAGTCCAGCCTCAGCGGGTGAGTCCCAGGCGCAGCCCCATGTGGGGAGGTTCCCTGGCTGACAGTCCCTGGCAGGGACAGGGAGCCATGAGCTGGGGTCCGAGCCCCAGCCGGCCTGTGCCCGCAGCCCACACGCCGAACATGGATTCACATCTGCATGGCTCCCTTGGATTTCGAGTCCCCCTCCCCCTACTTCCTGAGCCCCAGGCCGCCCCATACCTGGCCGGCGCCAGGTGCTGCCTCACCTGAGCAGCTATTTGGCGATTGGACCCCTCAGCACCTGTAGAAGCCAGAGGTCAGCCAGGCCCTGGAGCTCTGCTACTCACTGGAGACGGTGGCAGTGCCCCCCACCCACGGGGGAGACAGGGCCGGGAGGGCGAGGTGTCGCACACAGGGGCCGGTGTGAAGGCCGTGTCCCCGCCCTGCGGTGTTGAGCGTCGCTCCTGGGCAGGCATGTGGTCTGCGGCTCCCCGGCACCTGAGGCGGTTCTGCGGGGAAGTCGGCAGCTGGGGTGCCGCGGTGTGGAGGCGTGTGGTCGCCGTGGTCACAGTGGGCGGGACCCCGTAGGTGAATGGGAGATGCACCTTCAGCTGCCGGGGCTGCGCCGTGTGCTCGCGTGTGCTCTCCGTGTGGGGAGGTCTCTGGGGAACGACAGGTGCCGTGGCAGCTCTTGGCGCGTCTGCGCAGGAATGTTCTCTCAGCACCTGTCTCCAAACCGCATCTCTGCAGACGAGATTGTGGCTCTGAAGCGGCTGAAGATGGAGAAGGAGAAGGAGGGCTTCCCCATCACGTCACTGCGGGAGATCAACACCATCCTCAAGGCCCAGCACCCCAACATCGTCACCGTCAGGGTGAGCAGTCGGCCGAGGGTGGCCCCCCCATCCCTGGGCCCCCGGTGGGGGTGGGGGTGGGGCCTGGAGGCCGTGCCCGGCACCCAGGCCTGCGTCGCTCGCAGGAGATCGTGGTGGGCAGCAACATGGACAAGATCTACATCGTGATGAACTACGTGGAGCACGACCTCAAGAGCCTCATGGAGACCATGAAGCAGCCCTTCCTGCCAGGTACGGGCGCTGCGGCTGGGGCGGGAGTGGTGTCCCCGTAGCAACGCTGGTGACACTCGTGGTGGCAAGTGCAAGGGCCACGCTGGGCTAAAGCCACCTGGGATAAATGTCCTTGGAAGCCTCTGGCAGATGGCTCTTGGGACCCAGGCCCTGGACAGGCTCTTGAGGGCACTGGGGGCGTGGGGGGTGGCCAGGGCACACCTGTGACCCCCGCTGTGACCTGCAGGGGAGGTGAAGACCCTGATGATCCAGCTGCTGCGAGGGGTGAAGCACCTACACGACAACTGGATTCTGCACCGGGACCTTAAGACATCCAACCTGCTGCTGAGCCATGCCGGCATCCTCAAGGTGAGTCCTCAAGGTCAGCCCCCGGGGAGCGCTGCGCCTGCCTGTGCCCCAGGCGCTGCCTACAGCCCTGCCCTCTGTCCTCGCAGGTGGGGGACTTCGGGCTGGCACGGGAGTACGGGTCCCCTCTGAAGGCCTACACCCCCGTCGTGGTGACCCTGTGGTACCGCGCCCCTGAGCTGCTGCTCGGTGCCAAGGTGAGTTAGAGGTCTGGGCACCTCCCTCCCCACTTGGGCCACACACAGACAGGCGCCTGATACCGGGGTGCGGCCCAGCCAGCCCCCCTGAGCTGTGTCTCCTGCGCTCAGGAATACTCCACGGCCGTGGACATGTGGTCTGTGGGCTGCATCTTCGGGGAGCTGCTGACTCAGAAGCCGCTGTTCCCCGGCAAGTCGGAGATTGACCAGATCAACAAGGTGTTCAAGGTGAGCTGGGGCCGTGGCCATCCCTCCGTGGACGCTGGGCCCCTCCCGGCGCCCTGCCAGGTTGTACTGGCTATTCAAGGAACGGGGCCGGGGCTGAGGCGTGACCTGGTGGCTTTGTCTCCTCATGACCGTGACACAGGTGTTGTCATCCGTGACATTTGTTGTGTCCGTAGCGGGCATGGTGCTTCAGACACCCTTGTCTTTCAGGACCTGGGGACCCCCAGTGAGAAGATCTGGCCTGGCTACAACGACCTCCCCGCAGTCAAGAAGATGACCTTCAGCGAGTACCCCTACAACAACCTCCGCAAGCGCTTCGGGGCTTTGCTTTCCGACCAGGGCTTCGACCTCATGAACAAGTCAGTCTCTGCGCCGCCTGGCAGGGGCAGGGTGTCACGGTCTCTGCAACCACCGGAGCCCCAGCCCTGTGCTGGCCTCCGGCACTCCCACACCCGCCCCTAGGGGATCCTGGAGGCTGGGGGACAGGCGTGCCTTCCGCCTGGCCTGGCCACAGCGGCACCAGATGCTGTGTCCCCCCAGGTTCCTGACCTACTTCCCCGGGAGGAGGATCAACGCCGAGGATGGCCTCAAGCATGAGTATTTCCGCGAGACGCCGCTCCCCATCGAGCCCTCCATGTTCCCCACGTGGCCGGCCAAGAGCGAGCAGCAGCGCGTGAAGCGGGGCACCAGCCCGCGGCCCCCAGAGGGAGGCCTGGGCTACAGCCAGCTGGTGAGGCCTGGGCTGGTGGGGTCCCTGGGGCGGGCCTGGCTGGGCAGAGTCCTCACGGTGCCTGACCCCTGTCCAGGGTGACGATGACCTGAAGGAGACGGGCTTCCACCTCACCACCACCAACCAGGGCGCCTCGGCCGCTGGCCCCGGCTTTAGCCTCAAGTTCTGAAGGTCAGGGCCGGCCGGCCGCACCCAGGCCGCGGGGAGGATCGGCCCGGCCCGACATGGACACAGCTGCTGCGGCCAGAGATACCCAAGTCTTGGAACTGCTCATGTCATTTGGTTTTCCACATTTTGTTTTTATATTACGTTGGTTTGTAAATTTGTAGAATTAAATCACATTTTCCTTGTGGAGAGAGAAGCAGTATGTTTCAGAGACCCGACTTGTCAGCAAGGAGCACACACAGGGTGGGCTGGGCCGTGATGGGAACAGAACTGGGAGGGGTCTATTTTTTAACCTTAGTGGCCAGAGACCAGTTTGTGCACGGGAATGAGCAATGTCTCCCTGCCCTCACCCCGGCCCCCAGACCCACTATGCCGGCAGCCTCAGCCACTCGGCGGTTTTTATACATGAGGTTGTTAAAAGTTTTATTTTTTTATTTACTATTTTGTTTGTTTTTGAGACAGAGTCTCACTTTGTTGCTCAAGCTAGAGTGAGTGCCGTGGTGTCAGCCTAGCTCACAGCAACCTCAAACTCTTGGGCTCAAGCAATCCTGCTGCCTCAGCCTCCCAAGTAGCTGGGACTACAGGCATGCGCCACCATGCTCGGCTAATTTTTTCTATATATTTTTAGTTGTCCAGCTAATTTCTTTCTATTTTTAGTAGAAATGGGGTCTCGCTCTTACTCAGGCTGGTCTCGAACTCCTGACCTCAGGTGATCAACCCGCCTCGGCCTCCTAGAGTGCTAGGACTACAGGTGTGAGCCACCGCGCCCGGCCTGTCAGAAGTTTTAGAAATGTAGTAAAGTATTCTTGGAAAGCTCTGATGTGTCTTTCCAGTGGGCTGGCCCCATCTGGGTCACAGAGGCCTGCCATGGAGGGAGCCACAGGCCACCCATGCTCTGGGGGAGGATGACGGGTGGGTGACAGGGCTCAGCCCTGGGGCTCTGACCCCCACCCCTCGCCTGGCTGAGCGGGATATCGGCCTCAGGCAGCAGAAGGGCTGCTCAGCACCCACCTGGGCCCTCCACCGCTGCCCACGCTGGTCCCCAGCCCTGCTCTCACTCCCGTGGGGAAGGCCCTGCAGGCACAGCTGCCCCACTCCTCCAGGCCAGCCCAGCCGCCTCCTTCAGGAAGCCCTCCTTGCCTCACCCGTCTCAGCAGGCCCGGGGCTGGCCCAGTGATGCCCCACCGGCACGTGTCCTGTGGGTGCCACCGCCTCTCAAGACACCACCTTGGCAGAGCCCCTTGCACCTGTCGGCTGCATCCTCACCCCAAGGGACGGGGAAGAGGGATGTCCTGGCTCCCAGGCTCCCCACATCCGGGGCACAACCTGGGTGAGGCCACCCTCCCACCTGCCGTGGGCCCCACCTGGCCGTCCGCCACCCTCCCAAGAAAGGAGAGCACAGAGACGTCAGAGAGAAAGTGCTTTATATGCCGGGCCTGCCGCCCAGCGGGGCTCGGAGAGCTCAGCTCCTCACACGGACACGCCAGGAGTAGGTCGTGAGCACGCGCTGGTGCCACCGGACCACGCACGTGTAGGTGCCCTCGTTGATGGCATTGGCGATGATGCTCAGGTGTGCCTCTCCCAGTGCCAGGTAGCCTGGGTAGGAGGACTCCAGGGGCTCCTGGTCCTTGTACCAGCTGTGGGGGAGGGGCTCCTGCAGGCGCTGCCCAGCCGCTGCCCTGTCCCCATGGCCCCGGCACCACCAGCCCCAGGACACCCAAGGCCCCACCACTCACTACACTTTGCCTTTCTTGTGGAGGATCTTCTGGCCACAGCGGAAGGTGACGTTCCTGCCCTCAGGCACCAGCTTGATTTTGGTCCTGGGGGGTGGTGAGGTGGCGGCCACCGTGGGGAAGGGGAATTCTGCTTAGAGGGGGAGTGTCACGTCAGGGTCCCCCACCCCAGACCCAGCCCACGAAGCCCCTGCCCCGCCCTGCCCGGGTCGGCACCGGCACCGTAGCAGAAGTCGCAGCTGCTGGGGCAGAGCCTCCTCATGAGCCGCCGCCGGGCATCGCAAAGGCCCCTGCGCGCCCAGGACCCGCACACGAGCAGCCGGTCCAGGCAGCCTGCGGGGAGGAGGCCCGGCTCAGGGCCCGGCGGGCGCCCCCTCCCCTGCCCCTGCCCACCCCCGCCTGACTGAGGCCTCACCGTAGAGCCGGTGCAGCCCCCACAGCTCGTCCTGGGACAGCGTCTTCCAGCCGCGCAGCGTGGCGTTGAGGTGCATGAGCGCCCCACCGTGCTGGGAGTGCATCAGGCCCAGCGAGTGGCCAATCTCGTGGGCCGCCACGTGCACCAGGTCTATGAGCCACACGCCTGCGGGCCCGGCAGGTCAGCGTCTCGGAGCCCCCGGCCCAGCCCCTCCGCCCGCAGGCCTGCTCCGGCCGGGAGCCGCCCTCGCCACAGCCACAGGGAGATAAGAATGTTCAGGGCCGGGGCGGTTAGCTCGGCCCCCAGGAATGCGGCTCCATCCAGCTCCCTCTCCGCCGCATGGGGGCAGGGAGGAGAGCTCTGGGCTGCCGGGACCCCAGCCTGTGGGCTCCACCAGCACCCCTTGCCAGTTTGACCCCGCAGCGGCCACCACCCCCTGGAAGTCCCCCCAGCTGCAGCCCACAGTGGCGCAGAGAGCAAGAGCCCCGCAGACAGCCAGGGCGGCAGGTCACCTTTCTTCCAGCTGTAGCGAGTGGGGCCCAGAACCCAGTACTCGCTGTCGTCAAAGTGGATGCCGCCGTGCTGGGGGAAGAAGGCGTGGGCCAGCTCCCCGGTGGGGCCATCGAAGCAGTGGTGTATGGCCGAGACCAGACAGTCCGTGTGGTTGATGGGGTAGAAGCCTGCGGGGCGGGAGGGAGCACGGGGCTGAGCAAGGGCGCCGTGCGGCCGGGCAGGGGCAGGGCGGGTGCCCACCTATGTGCAGGTCGCTGGGCTGGTCAGGGGCCACTTCGTGGAAGCTGAAGGGGGACACGTCACTCCACAAGCGGAAGGCGGCTGCCAGGCTCCGCCGGGTCTCCTGGGGGCTCAGCAGGTTCCGCGGGAAAGAAAGGATCCTGGGGCGAGGGGCCAGGTCAGGGGTGGTGGCCGGGCCGCGGCCACGCCTCTCTCCCCCAGGGCCGGGCCACACCTGTAGGTGAGGTTGAAGTGGTCCCAGCGTAGCCTGGCCGGGGTCAGCGTGTAGCGGCGTCTGCGGACGGCCGGCGGGCCTTGGACCTGGGCGGCGCGGACTCCTGCGTGGCCTGGTGCAGGGACGTCTGCCTTCAAGAGAAGATAGGTGTGGGCAGGCAGGAGGGGCAGTCCCCAAGCCCAGAAAATGGTGCAAACTCCCACTGGAAGGAAAGCGGGGTGCACGGGGTGGGGGAGGGTGTTGGCGTTCCTTAGTTTTTTCTCTGTTTTCTGGTTTTCTATCCTGTGTTCCTTTTTTACCCGAGAGAAAAGTTACTAAAAACAAGGCACCCGTTCAAGGAGCTGGAGTTGAGATGCGCTGCCTCCCGCCTCCCCCAACCACCGGACGCAGACGCTGGGACCCTCCGCCCTAGGGACTCACATGCAGACCCACAGACATGGGGTGCCACGGCCATGGACACATCCGCGGGGGCCCACACACAGGCCCCAGACCGCACCTGGCCTCCCGGCTCGCTGCTCACCTGCGCTGCACTCCAGGCCCGCACCGCCGGGTCGCCCAGCCGGGCCAGCAGCACCAGGGCGGGCAGGAGGCACAGGGCACCCAGCAGGGCACCCAGCCAGCGGCCCTGGACGCCACCCCCTGTGGTCCCCAAAGGGACACGGACCCCTGGGCCCATAGCGGACTTGCTGCCGGGCTCAGGGCCGCATGGGGCAGTGCAGCTGGGGGACCCGGCCGAGGAGCTGCCGCCAAGGGGTGGGAGGGGAGGCAGTGCGGGCGGCTCGGGTTACAGCGGGAGGGGGGCAGGGGGGAGCCGCCCCTGAAGGGAACCAGCTGGCCCGACTGGCAGCGTGGGGAGCAGCGCGCCACCTCCGTCCCCGGGCGCGGGGTCGCAGGGCTGGGTCTGCGGCAGGGGCCTGGGCATAGCCCGCTGGGCGGGTCGCTTGAGCGGCGGACCGAGAGGGCCCTGGGCAGCCAGGGAGGGGCGGGCGCCAGGGGCGCAGGCCACAGAATGGTAGTCAGGTGGGTTCCCAAGCTGGCTGGGGGCTGAATGACCTGGTGGCTTTTTTCCCAAACGGAACCTCCCCAAAGCCCTGGACCCCAAATAGCGGAGCCTCTGTCTCCCCCCTGCACTGCCCTTGGTGTCCCTGCCAGAGGGAGGGACGCGGCAGGAAGGGGACGTGGCAGTGAGTATGCGCGGCTGAGGGGAGCAGGGAAGGGTCGCAGAGGCGCTAGGTTGGGTGCAGGAGAGAGGGCACCTGCAGGGGGTGCTGCGGAAGGGGGGGAAGTGGCAGGCCTTGGTCCGCTGGGACCCTGCAGGGGGCAGTACGGGAGGGGGGTGCTAGGGGTGTGTAGGGACCCGGAATCCCCGAGTCCGTGACAGACAGGGGAGGGGTCCTGGGAGGGGGACCAGTGAGGCTGAGGCTGGGACTGTCCTGGCTGGGGCAGGGGCGGGGCCGGGGGGCCCAGACGCTGGAAGGCCCGATGGGACGGCCGCGAGCCCCGCCCGGCATTGGCGAGGGCACCTCTGGCCTGCGGAACCTGGAGCCGGCGGCTCGCGGGGTCGCGGACTGCGAGACAGGGGCCGGGGAGTTCTGAGCCAGACCAGGCCCATGTCCTGTCCCTCTCGTTCTCTGTGCCGGCCATGGGCCCAGAGTGACAGTGGCGGCCGCCAGCCCCGGCAGCAGGGTCAGCGCCAAGCAGCTGGCGGGCGGCCGCGGGCCAGAAGGGGAGCAGGGCGTGTGGTTCTTGGAAAGCGCCCGGCTTGGAAAGGCACTCAGCAGACGGCAGCGCCCCCTCTCCCGGCTAAACATTCACTCCCAGAACCCGGCCCCTCTTCCCCTCTCGTGTGTGCCTGCCCCTTCCTCGGGTCCATGTCCCCTCGGCCCACACTCCACGGGGGACCCTGCCAGGGTCCCCACCCACTCCCTGCCGGGCCAGGCCCCTGCAGCCCGCCCCCAAGACCGGGAGAGAAGGGAGGGGACACAGGAAGGCCCCGTGGGGCGGCCTTCGAAGTGGGCAGGGGCCGCCTGCAGGCTGCTGTAGGGGAGGACAGCACAGTCCGGGTCCCCTGCCTTGTCGGACTGGGGCCAGGGTCGCGGGGAGTGGCCGGTGCCCGCGCCCGGAGAATGTTTCTGGGCCGAGCCCAGAGTCTCGGCAGGCGTCTGGACCCGTGAGCCCAGCGTGGCAGGACGGGCAGGGCGGGGGCAGGGCCGAGGCTTCCTATCTGTCCCAGGCCAAGGACCCCAACGTCCCAACCCCAGGCAGGCAGCAGGCGGCAATGTCCATGAATCTTTTTATAAAATACAGGGTGGGGACTTGCGAAGGCAGTTCCCGAACATGGCTCCCGGGCGCGCCGGAGGCGGGGATGTCGCGGGCTCACACGAAGATCTGGATGCGGTCGCGGATGGGTTGGCGGCAGATGGGGCAGGCGCTGAGCGCGGCGCCGCAGGGCGCGCACGCGCCGTGGCCGCACTGGAACACGAGGCGGATGTGGCTGTCGATGCAGATGGGGCAGGTGATGCGCTCCTCCATCTGCCGGTACCGGCTCTGCAGCTCCTCCACCAGCTGCCGCGGTGGGCCGGGCGCCGGGGCGGCACTCGCCACCTCCGAGCCGTCTGCGGGGGAGGAGGAGGGGCTGGGTGTGATCTCCACCAGGTGTGATGGGGACAAGGTGTGATCCGAACGAACGAGGTGTGAGCTGGGGACAGGGCGCCAGTAGCGGGCGAGGGCGGGGCTGGGCACAAAGCGGGGGCGGAGCTATGGACAAGCACCAAGCCGGGGGTGGGGCATGAGCTGCGGGTCAAGACCGGAAACAGGACGGGTCCCCAGCCCACCCACCTGGGCGCAGCTTCTTGCTGATGACCACCTGGCATCTGATGCACTTCTTCATCCTGCGCGCGCACTCTGCGGGGGGGAAGGGAGAGCACGGTTGGGCAGGGCCGCGTCGCCCGCCCCGTGCCGCCCGGGCCCCCACTCACCCTCGCACACCGTGCGGTGCTGGCACGGCGCGAAGAGCACCAGCAGCGCCAGCTCGGAGCACACCAGGCACTCGGCGGCCTCGAGCCCCGCGGCGGCCACGTGCAGGTTCGTCACGGTGTTCGGGGTGCCGGGCACGTGCGTGGGGCCCGGGGCCGCGCCGCCGCCCGCCTGCCGCTCCCTGCAGTTGGAGGAGGCGGCTTGAAAGGGCCCGGCGGCCGCGGAGCCCGCGCCCCAGCCCCGCGCGGGAGCTCACCGGAAGCGCTGGGCACAGCCCTGCAGGGCCTTGAGCAGGCGGCCCTCGACCGCCAGGTCCAGCGGGCTCCGGCCGCGGTGGTTGGCGTAGCTCACGTCGGCGCCCTCCAGCGCCAGGAAGCAGGCGACGGCCGCGCCCACCGTCAGCTCCGCGCCGCCCGGGAGGCCCGAGGCCTGTAGCTGGGCGGCAGGACGCGGGCGGTGAGCGCGGGCGCGGGCGCGGCCGGCAGAGGGCACCCCTCTCAGAGGCCCCGACTCCGGGGAAGCAGAGTGTGGGAGGCGTGGAGCTGGGAACCCCTACTCCTCACCCACTTCCCCTGCCAGGCCAGGGATTCAGAATCGCAGGTGCCGGGGGTCACGTGGGGCAGCTCCTGAAAACCAGCCTCCCAGGCCACCACCCCACCTCCCCAGAGTGTGGCTCCCTGGGCGGCACCGCGGGCGGGAAGTCCTCCGGCCGGGTGCCACGGTACCCTCTCCACACCCAGCTCCCTTCCTCACCCTGGACAGCAGCTGCAAGGGCCCCGGGTCCCCCCCGGCCCCATCAGCCACCAGGGGCAGCATCCGATGACGCTGCAGAGCCACGTGCAGGGCTGTGTCCCCCTCCTCGTCCTCCGCGTTGACACTGCAACCAGCGTCCACCAGCAGCGGCACCAGGCCCACATGGGCCTGCTGCACGGCCAGATGCAGCGGGGACTGCAGCTTCCTGTTGCGCACGTTCACGTCACAGTGGCCCTGGGGAGGGGGGCACAGGTTCTGCCTGGGGACCCCAGCAGGCCCCCAGCTCCCCCTTCCCGGGCAGGCCCGGACCCTGCCCGCACCTCCCTGACGAGGATCTGGGCCACCTCACGGTGGTTGTTGAGGGCGGCCAGGTGCAGGGCCGTGAAGCCATCCTCCTTCTTGGCGTCCACCAGCTGCCGCGCCCGTGCCAGAATCTTCCGGACAGCTCTGTGGGAGCAGGGAGATCCGTCTAGGGCCTGGGGCCGTCCCCAGGGTGTCCTGGCCCGGCAGGGGCCGGCTGCCCACACTCACAGCGCATGGCCCTTGAGGGCTGCATGGTGCAGCAGCGTGAAGCCCTGGCTGTTGGTGGCAGTGACGTCGACGCTGGGCACCTCCGTGAGGACCTCCACGATGCCGCTGGCGCCGGCACCCGCTGAGATGGCGGAGTGCAGGGGTGTGTCGGCATGGGCGTCCTGCGGTGGGGAGCCAGTGGTCATTTGGTGAGACTTCCTCTGGGGTCAAGCTGCCTCCTTAACCCAGGGTTAGGGCGAGGGCACCTGGGGACCGGCACTCACAGGCAGGTTGACGTCACAGCCGCGCTCGCACAGGGTCCTCACCACCTCCAGGAAGCCCCTCTGCACGGCCACGTGCAGCGCTGTGCTGCGGGAGCTGTTGAGGGCGTCTGGCCCACACCCCGCGCTCAGGAGCACCCGGGCGGCCTCAGGCTGATTCCTGCCAGAAGAGAGCGGATGGGGAAGAGGCACGATGGCCACTGGCTGGACCCCAGGGCTCGGCCACTCCGGGTCCTCCCAGTCCTCACCCCAGGGCCGCGTAGTGCAGGGCCGTGTTGCCCTCCTCGTCCGGCAGGTCCACTCCCGCCCTTGCCTGTAGCAGCAGCCGCACCAGCTCCACCTGCCCCAGGTAGGCAGCCACCTGCAGGGCTGTCCTGCCCTGGTTCTTGGTGTCCACCTGCCAGGACAGCCAGCAGGTGAGTCCCGGCTCTCTCCCCGACCCTCGTGGGGAGGAAGGCCGGAAGGGAGCACACCTGTTCCGGGTGCCTCTGCAGCAGGTCCAGAGCCCGGGCCATGTTGCCCAGCGCCACCTCCACCACCAGCCTCCCCGCGTGCTCGGGGTCACCCTTCTGGGCCCGCAGCTTATCCAGAGCCACGCTCAGAGAGCCTGGGGGCAGGGCTGAGATCAGTGTTGGGCAGGGGCAGCCCCCCCCCACTGGCCCCCTGGGCTCGTGCCCACTTTTGTTCTCCCTGGCTCGCTCAGCCACATCCAGGTTGGCGTCCTCCTCAGGCCGGTAGGCTACCAGGCAGGAGGGGCTGAAGGTCCACCGCTGACCGCCGACTGCCACTCGAAGGTTCCCATCTCCAAACACTTTCACCACTTTCCCGACGCGGCCCAGGGCCTGAGGGGGAGAGGTGGGGTCACAGCAGGCCACAGGTGCGGGGTGGGAGGGGGCAGGGGCAGGGCACTCACGGGGGCCATGTCGTCCGTCCACTCGCCGTGCCCGGCCTGCAGTCGCTTCACTGCATCCAGGTCGTCGATGACCCGGACCACGTCACCCACCCAGAAGGAGTTGTGCTGGACAACAGAAGGGCACATGAGGGGGTCCCCCTGGCCCCACGTGGCTGCCCAGGGTCACGAGCACTTGGGAGTGACCCAGCAGGCTCCACAGTCCCAGCCTGCCCCCCACCCCCAGCACAACCAGGAGGTCTGGCTGGACAAGGGCTGCAGGTGACAAGGCAGCTCTGGGTGGCCCAGCCCAGAGCCACAGCGGTGACAGCCAGGAGGCCGTGTCCAGCCCAGACGCAAGCCAGCTCTGGGGAGGTGCAAAGGCCGAGGTGCCCACCCCTGGGGAGCCTGAACCCAGAGGGGCAGGAGGCAGCAAGGCCAGGCATGTGGGGGTGGGGCTCCTCCCCCCTACTCTGCCCCCACACCTGCAGCAAACTCGCTCTCCAAGCCCGTCCAGTGACTCCCCACACCCGCTCCTTGAAGGCTGGGGTGTCCTGGACCGGAGGTGCAGGCAGAGCTGACTCCCCAGACAGCTCAGGCCCTGCCTCCCTGAGCCCTGTCCTCCCCACAGCTGCTCGCACCTGCCCCCCATGCTGCCTCCTTCAGCCCTGCAGTGCTGTCCTGGCCCCTTCAGTCCTCAGGTCGGGAGGCTTGGGCCCACCAGCTCCGGTGCCCTTCTCTGGGTCTCATCACACCCAACCCCCCTTCTCCTGGACTCCACCTCCACCCACCAGGCCTCCCCTTCCTTCGGGGCTAGGGGCTCATGGGTGGGGATCGGCACCCCAGTCCTGCCTGACCACTCCCAATGCCGGGTAGGTACGGGGAGGGGCTGCAGGAGTGAATGGATGGGGCTCAGCCCGGCCCCCCATGCACCTTGGTGAGAGCCCCAGGGTGGAAGGTCCAGCGGGTCTCATGGTTGAACTGCACGCGCACGTCCCCGCGGTCTGTGATGCGGTGCACGGTGCCCGTCTGTCCGATAAACTGTGGCGGGTCACGGAGGCTATGGCTGGGTTAGGCTGGACTCCAGGGAAGGGAGAGGGCTGGGGTCTGGAGGACTCAGGAGGGAAGGGCACGGGGGCTCAGCAGGCGGGGCGGCTCACCTCCGCCATCCTGGGGTTCCAGCCACCGTGGCCCTCCTGCATCTCCCTCAGGACGTCTGTGTCCAGCAGACACTTGACCTTGTCCCCATGCTGGAAGGGCTGGCCATCCGCACTCACCCTGCGCTGCAGCTCTGCCGGCTTACCTGGAGGAAGGCAGGCGGCCTCAGGCAGCAACCCCTCCCCTCCGGGACTGCATAGGCAGCCCCTGCCCAGCCAGGGAGGGAGGGCAGCTGGTGGCAACAGGATGGCCCCATACCGAGCCTTGGGAGGTGCTCCTTGTAGTAGAAGCCGCCTGCCGCCTCACCCACACACTTGAGGTCCACCTTGCCCTTGTGGCCCACACGGTACACGTTGGTGGTGCCATCAGCCCACGTGACACTGGCCACACTCCGGCCTGTCTCCACATCCCAGCCACGGATGTCCACCACTCGGCCTGGCTTCCCTTCCCCTCCTGGGGAGAGAGTCCCCGCCAGCAGGCTAAGGCTGTGCCTTGAGGCTGAGCTGTAGCCAGCCACAGCCCGGCCCCACCTCCCTGTCCCTTCTGCCCCCACTCACCGTCCTGGGAGCCCCACTCCCAGTCGGGCCCTCGCACCACCTTTGCCCCCTGGAAGATGCCCCTCAGTGGAATCCTCGGGAGGCCCTGGCGGGGACTCAGCGTGACACTGTAAGAGAGTGGGTCCCGAGCAGGTGAGGAGAGGCTCAGTGGTACAGGCCTGTCCTGCAGCTCCCGAGGGTGTGAGGGAGCTGGGGATGGAGCAGCTTCAGGACAGGGTCCCAGCAGGGCAGAGCCCTCTACACTTGGGGGAGGCTCTAGGGGAGCTGTCAGCACTGCTAGACTGGGGCCTGGAGTGAGCCTGCTGGGCATGTCCCTCAGGGGGCTTCCCTGACGCCAGGATGCCGCCTGCACAGCAGGGCCTCTGGGGCAGTCACTTCACACCTGCTGGGAGGCCTGCCCCAGAGAAGGGCTCAGGATGTGGGGAAGGGAGGAGCAAGGAAGACAGGTGTGGCCAGCAGCACCCGGACAGCTGCCCGCTCCCACGCCTCCTGCAGACAGCTGGGATCTGGAACACACTTCCCTCCCCATGCAGGGAGGGACAGGGAGATGAAGGTGACAGCACAGGGGACAACGGATGACACCTCCGGGTGCCTGGCCCAGCCCAGCAGAGACTCCCCGGCCCAATTCCCGCTGCCCACAGCGAAGCCAGGGGCACCTGCCCAGCCGTGCCAAGTGGCCGGCTCCACACATGTGCTGTTCTGCCAGACGCCTCGCTGCCAGGCCTGGCACCTCCCCAGGGAAGGCTGGCTGCCGCCACACACAGGCCCCCTCGGTGCCCCAGCCTGGCTCTAGGTGTGGTGCTGGGACAGACAAGACCGTGTCACCAAGCTCTGCAGACCTCCCCAGCAGACACTACTGCCTTCCTGAGGGCAGGGGCTGGTATCCATGCCCCAGAGTGACCAAGGCCCCGGCCATCCTTCCGGGAGATGGCTCAGGAAACAGAGAAGGCAGCACCGGTCCTCGGAGGCCAGGGCCTGGGTGGGTGTCCAGGCCCATTACCAAGCCTGGAGATCAGCAGGGAGGACCCAGCGCGGCCAAGGCCCCGGCATGCTGCTGCGGGCAGCAGGGGACTCACGGGCGCGAGTGGGCCGTCTCGTAGCGCTCGAAGGCGTGGGCGAGGTCGTGCCGGTTGTGCATGTAGCACTGCGTGCACAGGTCGTAGTCGAAGCAGACGCGGCACTTCCAGCGCATGCCCCGCAGCCCATGCTTCTTGCAGCAGTCGCAGATGATGTTGGGGTGGCGGACGCCTGGGGGCGGCCCAAGTCAGGGGAGGGGCCGCCCCCAAGGCCCCACCCCCCTGGCCAGCCCCCAAGGCCGCGCACCGATCTGGGCGTTGTCGTAGAGCAGCAGGTCGTGAGCGCCTTGGTAGCCGGCGCGGTAGTTGGTGCGGGTGCCCTGGTCCCACTGCACGACAACCGTGCGGTCGGGGGTCGACGGGCTGCCATGGCGGCCGAGCTCCACCACCGTGCCCACGCCGCCCTCGCCACCGTCCTGCTGGCCCCACTTCCAGTCCACGCCGCGCACCACACGCATGCCCACCTGCACACCGGCCTGGGGGTCTGGGTCCATGGCTGGCAGGGCTGCTCAGGGACCTGCAGACAGAGGGCACCCTCAGGCTGTGTCTGGAGGCCACGGGGCCAAACTGCCCTCAGGACAGTGCCCACTTGCCCAGAGAAGGCCACCTGGGAGACACACGTGGGCCCAGAGGGGCTGGAGGGCACGTGCAAATGCCCTGGGGCTGGGGAGACCCAGGGCCAGCAGGGAGGGTGGCAGTGGCACCTGGCCTGGAGGGAAGGTGGGGCCGAGGCTGGGGCACCACTGCAGTCTGGCCCAGGGGGTCAGATATCAGGCCTGGCTGAGAAGGCCGGGCATGCCCCCGTACTAGTGGATTCCGTCCTGGGTGGGTAGTGCCATAAGCCATCGATACGTATTTCTTTAAAAAGTAATGGATTTGGCCGGGCGCGGTGGCTGACGCCTGTAATCCTAGCTCTCTGGGAGGCCGAGGCGGGCGGATTGCTCGAGGTCAGGAGTTCAAAACCAGCCTGAGCAAGAGCGAGACCCTGTCTCTACTATAAATAGAAAGAAATTAATTGGCCAACTAATATATATATATAGAAAAAATTAGCCGGGCATGGTGGCATATGCCTGCAGTCCCAGCTACTCGGGAGGCTGAGGCAGAAGGATTGCTTGAGCCCAGGAGTTTGAGGTTGCTGTGAGCTAGGCTAACGCCAGGGCACTCACTCTAGCCTAGGCAACAAAGC